TGGACGGCCCCATCTACTGGGAACTTCTGCCCGAGGGCAAAACAATAACTGGAGACCTCTACACTACTCAACTACGAAACCTCAAGAAAGCAGTCGACCGTTCGGCCCTGAAAGACAAGAAAGTGTACTATCAACATGATAACGCTCGCCCACATGTTTCGAAACAAGTGAAGCAGGAGCTGATGGGATATGGATGGAATGTTCTCCCTCACCCCCCGTATTCTCCTGATCTTGCTCCTTCCGACTATTGGTTATTTGGCGATATGACACGTGCCTTCGAAGGAAGAAGCTTCAATTCCCGTGGAGCGGTCGAAGCGGCACTCAAACAATACTTTGCCTCACGCCCGGCTGGATTCTACCGCAATGGAATCCATAAATTGAGGGAACGTTGGAGACATGTTGTTGATAATGATGGACAATATAATTAATTATTCGGTTATTTTTTCTTTGAGAAATAAACTATGAAAAAGTGACAAAGACTTTCCCGCCAACCTAATACGGTAAGTTGGAACGAACAGGAATAGAAAGGAAAAGGGAACTATATAGGGTGTTTGGCTGATACATAAAATTTTTTGGAAGAGTGGAAGCTCTGCTAAAAGCTCCAATAGAACTTATCTGATCTTCGTTTCAAATAAAAAATACCGGAACCAAATTTTTTCCAAATCTATTTCAAATAGTAGATTTTCAAAAAAAAAAAAGAAACTTGGAAGTAGAAAAAAAACCAGACAAGATGATGATGAGATATAGCAAAACTCAAGAGAAGACTTGAGTTATTTACCGAAATATATGCCCCTAAACATCCATCCCCATTCGATTTCAATGAAAAAACAAGTCTATATGGATGTGTGTCAGTTTCGTTTTTTTTTCAGTCAAGGGTCCGACTAGGGAGACCACCACCATCGCCTCCGCCCGCCTTGTTTATTTTATTACTGATTCATTTTTCATTTCTTCTCCATTCATTTTGATGTCATGTTTAGAGTTGGAAAGTTCTAGAATAGATGGAGCCCTTTGGTTCATAAAAACAAGGAAAAATTATATGAAGCATGTCAACAAATTAATCATAAAAGGCCAAAGGGAGGAATCCTTCTCACGGAGGATGCACTATTTGGGATGACGAGGGAACGAGATAAATAATTTTGGGATTCGGAGAATTTTTTGCTGAAAGAGCTACTAGGTCATGTAGGAGGGCGGATAAGGAAGTATCCAGCCAATTTATCTGGGTTCCGGTAAGGAAATCGGAAAGTGATCAACTAACAAAATATTGATGATATTATGATAAGCAAATTGTTAATTGACCACTTTTTAGTATCTTTTACAGGAACCGAGATATTTAGTGAACGGTTAATGATACCATAGACACTCTAAGAGAATGACTTCCCTGTTAAGTTTGAGCCAAGTTTATCTCGCTTTCTGTAAAAGATATCAAAACTATGCCAACTAACAAAATGTTGCTGATATTATGATAAACATTTTATCAGTTGAAGACTTTTTGATGTCTTTTACAGGAACCTAGATGAATTGCCTACCGTAAGCACATATAAATTCATTCGAGCCAAGCTATCCCAGTTGCTGTAAATAATATTCCAAACGTGGTTAACTAATAAAATGTTGCTGATATTATGATCAACATTTTATCATTTGACGACTTTTTGATATCTTCTACAAGGAACTTAGATAAATTGGCTCAAAGTTGGGACCATACTTGTCCACCTTGCCAACGGGACCACCTACGGCCCGGCGCATAACTCGGTTCAAACTCAGAATTTTTTAGTGGACTAAAAAGTATAATTCAGAATTTGATGAGATCTACGAACTGATACACAATTCGACATTTCGCCTTTGGAGGGTTCATCTTAAAGGTTTATCGAATTTCAATGATTTGAATTCCCGCTTTGTTAGGATAATCAGCTCTTATGCTAATTTTAATGTTTTACAATTTTCAAGATCTTCAAAATTGTTGAAATCTGTGCCATTGTCAGTTTATCTATTCAAAAAACATGCAAAAAAATGAAATGTAGCGAAAAATATACCGTATACTATTAGAATACAACCTTATTGATGAACTTTGAGCTCAATTATCTCGGTTCCCATGAGAGGTATCAGAAAGCAGTCAACTGATAAATTGTTTATCATAACATTTTTAATATTTTACCAGTTAACAAATTATTGATATCTCTTATAGGAACTGAGATAATTGAGCTCAAAGTGGAAGTTAACCTACTCTAAATGCTACAATAGAAGCGCACCCTATACGCCTATTTTGAGCTCAATTATCTCCTTACTTGTAAAACCTATTAACAAATTTCAACTAATAAATTATTTATTAAAAAATAACCTATATTTTATCAATTGACAGTATTTGGATATCTCTTATGGGAACCTACTTGAGTTCAAAGTATACTTGAGCTCAAAGTTCGCACATGGCTAATAGAGATTGGGGCAAATACGGTAGTAAACAATTTCAAAGTCTGTGACCTCAATCTTGAGTACTACTGTACCTGTTTGGGTAGCGAGAATAAACTTCTAAATTGTTATAAACAAGTAACTAGGAAAATGGGTTCTTACCCAGAATTAAAGATTACATGGAAACGATAGTAATAGAGATGCTCAAGAGATTTCTGATTCGTCTGAATGGAGGTCAAAATAAAGCTTTCCAAAAACCCCCTGGTTGGTTGAATAAGGTACATGCAGCTGAAAGTCAATAATAGCGGAATCTCTAAAATGAATCATTTTGTTTTTCCGCGTTTTTCTTTCCAGCTCCACCCTCCATAGCAGATTTTCTCATCCGATAGCAAAAATTGAAATCAAAAGTGGCACAATATATAGAAGAATAAGAAAAACGAAACAAGATCCAATACTACCGTAATCCTTGTGAAGTAGGAGGAATAAGAAAAGCGAAAAGGGAAATGGGACATCTTCTTCAGGCTGAATGACTAATCAATTTAATAAAATACAAAGCGACGAAACATTGACACCGAGAGAGAGAGGAATAAGAATTGAGAGGGACGATGTGATCGCTTGAATAGACTTGAGAAGGCCGCGAAGGTCCTTCTGAAGACTCGAAGAATGAATGAATTGAATTTCAATTATTTTGCTCTGGTCGGTTGCCTTTTTCGCCACATTCACATTCACACACACACATAGACTCAATTTTTCACAAATCGACTGGAATTTTTTTTATCGGATGAGTCTTCTAGAAGGGGCGGCAAACAAGAAGAGTCAATGACGAGGTAGAAAAATGGAGCAACGGATTCCAAGAATGGGTGGGATGATGAAAAAAGGGTCCCCGGTGCTCAAGGATCATATAGTTGTCATGCACTTTCCGTTGTTCGTCTGGTATTCATTTTTAGGTTTTTTAGGATAAGTGATAAAATGGGGACATCTGAAGATCCAAGGTCTACCATAGACGTAGAGCGCAAAGGTGAGATCATCCAGATAAGGGGGCTATAGAGGAAGATTAGGCTTATATCGAAAAAATCTAAAAATCCAACAAGATTTTTTTTCTATAAACACGAATTTCGTCCTCAAGACACAGTTTAAACTGAATATTGTATAATGAGAGCTTTTGAAATCAACGTTATTGTTCATTCGCAAGCGTATATAGTCGGTTTTTCACAGCACTTGCCAATTTTTTTATTCCAGTTTTGCTCAACGATTTTCCAGAACGTTTTTCAAGAATTATTGTTTTTTCCACGCTTTTTCCGATGGAACGCAGGCACCGCTGAGCGATGTTTAATTTCAAGCTTTCGCGTCGAGACTAACGCTAATTTATCGTTAGTATTTATTACAGTATGTTCGCGGTGGAGCGCGTTTACATACCGAAAGAAAATTGCTGATGACCGAAGGTCCCACAACGACAACTACAGTAACCTGTAAATTATTTTTATTTTTCTCGATTTTTGTTCATTTTCTATTTTCCGACATTTTCTATTTTCCGTCGGACATGTTTGACACGGCGGCCAAAATTCCTTCTTTCCCAACTCTATTTTAGGTTCCAAACGTGACAAGAATATAAACGCAAACAAGTTGGGCCACAACAACACAGAGTACCCATCTGACTTTAAAAACTGCTCCCTATCATGGTCTCTCGGATAAGAGACCATGCATCACAATCATCATATGTGTCACATGAGAGAGAGAGAGAGAGAGAGAGAGAGAGAGA